GCCACAGATAAAGTGCTTGTTATGGGTGGATACTCCCTAAAAGACATTTTGATGGTTCTAACCCCCAGAACCTCAGGTTGTGACCTTATTTGGAATAGTTTGTTACAACGGTAGGTACTAGACTTGGCGTACTTACAAAGGGGAGAAGAGACACAGAGAAGGAAGACGGCTGAGTGACGTCGGAGGCAGAGACAAATGAAGTAGCTGCTAGTGCCGGCAGCTACCAGGCGCTGAAGGAGGCCAGGAAGATCCTCACCTACAGGTTTCAGGGACAGCATGTCCTGCTGACATCTGGGTGGACTTCCAGTCTCCAGAACTGTGCGACCAGGCAATTCTGTTGTTCTAAGTCTCACGGTCTGTGGTACCTTGTTACAGGTGCCACAGGAAGCTCCCTCTGCCTTGGTCCCTCTGATCCCTGCCTCCTGGTATTCCCGCCCTTGTCTGAGCCCCTCCCTTGAAGTGTGAGCAGGACCGAGGGGCACCCTGCTAATGAACACAGTGCAACAAACGTGATGGGGAGGCGTTTCAAAGACTAGGTTACAAGGAGACTGGTTTCTACAACTTCTCTCTCACACGTTCTCCCTCTCGCTTGACCTAAAAGAAGCCAGCCGTATCTTTATGGCAAGGAGCTGAGGTCTCCAGCTACTGAGAAGGCTTAAGTTCCTTCAGACCTGAGGCTTGCCCACAGGCAGGGAGTGTGCCGAGAAGCAGATCCTCCTCAGCCAAGCCTGTTTTTTTTTTTTTTTAAAGACTTATTTTATTTTATTTAATTAATTAATTAATTTATTTTTAATTTGAGCAGAGAGGGACAGAGCAAGAGAGAAAGAGAGAGGGAAAATGAGAAAGCAAGCTGCCAGGTCTGGGACTTGAACCACGGTCAACCATGTGGGAGTCCAGCGCCCTTAACCACCACGCCACCTGCTGGCCCCCCAAGCCCGTTTTTGAGAGTGGCCCTAGCTAACATTTTAATACTTGTATTTATTTATTTTTATTTTGCCAGAGGGTGCATGTGCCTTCCAGAGAGAAACAAAGAGAATGGGAAAGAGAAAACACCCATCATGGGGAACAGTCACACTGCAATACTTCTCCTTTATTTCTCCCTTCTTTCAGGATTTTGGACATGCGTGCACACGTACCTGGCATGTTTCTCAAGTCACCATGTCTGGGATTGCACCATACAGAGGAGGGGAAAGCACCTTCCAATGGGGTGTTCTCCTACTCCTTTCTCTATCCTGTAGGGCTTTGGAGCACACATACACATGCGCCTCGTGTGTTTTCAAGCTCCCAGTGCCGGGATTCATACTGTGGTTGATCATGTGGGATCCAGCTCCCTTAACTACCAGGCTACAAGATCAGCACCCATTTTTTCTCCCAAGTAATTATTTATTTAATTTTCTTAATTTTAAATTTATTTTATTATTTATTTAATTTTAACTCATTACAGGGCATGTGCACTTACCAGAGTGAGACAGAGACAGAGAGAGGAAGCAAGCTGCCAGATCTGGGATGTGAACTGCAGTTGACCACGTGGAAGTCCAGTGCCTTAACTACCATGCCACCTACTGGCTCCCAGTTTCCATTTTTTTATTTCTTCCATGAGTGAGAGCAAAAGAGAGAGAGAAATAACCAATAGGGTCCCAATACCACAATCTATCTCCAGCCACCTCCAGATTATGGGCAAGTGCAAGCCCAGCACGGGCAGGAAGGTCTCTGACCCTGAATCTGGAACTTTCTCGTGTAGGACTGCTTACAGAGCATTGAGTTTTACTACAGCAGCATTGTCTGGCCCCCTAGTCAACACCTTAACTGCAACTGTGAGAGCCTTGAGCCAGAATTACTCAGCTAAGCAGGACCAGATTCCTGATCCACAGAAACTTTTAGACAGTAGATTTATGTTGTCCTAAGTAGCTACGGTTTGGGGCAATTTGTTACATAGCAATAGTTAACTAGTACACCCACCTCCACCCTGCTCACTCTTTCTTCCAAATATTCTCAAAATCAGACATTACCATCCCTAAATATGCAACAGCATCCTGAGAATGTCAAGGGCACCGGGACCCCACAGGGGGTGCCGCACCTTTCTTTCTCTCTCTCTTGCACTCATGGAACAAATAAATTTAAAAAGTAAAGAATAAAATGAGAAATATCCAGATTCTTAATTCTCCCACTCATCTGCAAGGCTCATTCTGTCATATGAGTAAGGCAGCTTCTTTTCGGGGATATGGAAATAAAGCGTTTGGACCCTCCAGTAGTGAGAGGGTGGGGGCGGGGGGTGGACCTGGGGTTTTGTGTTGCTTTCCTTCTCTCTCACTCCTACAGGCTGGCTTCTAAACACCCCATGAATATGAGCATTCCACACATTCCCCTAAAGTTGAGCAGGGGCATGGAAATGAGGAGAATCCCCGCAGAAGCGGAAGCGATGCTGGTTCTGTCCAGAGCTCTCGGGGCAGCACAGCTGAATTGCCTTTTTCTTGTCTCCCTCCCTCCCACCCCAGACACCTGGATAATAGAAGAGATTCGACAAACAACACTTTTGTTCCACTCCTTTCACTCTGGAAGGAGAAAAGCGACTTTAATAAGAGGAGGTGGGCCGATTTGGAAACTCTCTTGCTGGAACCTTGGAAAGGACTTCCACTTCTTGGGCCACCTACAGACTTTGGAAGTGGCTCTGGACAGCGAGTCAGCATCTGCCCTCAGAGGCTACCTGCTACCTTTCTGGAAGTCTCTGAGGGCATCAAAGGCCCATCTCAAAGGGCATCTCCTGGAGGCAAGCTGTGTGACGCACAAAGCAAGGAGCATGAGTCTCCCAGTGTGGCTGTTTGCTGAATCCTCTTTGCTAATAATAACCCACCAACCAAGCAATTAAACTGTGAGCACATTCCAGGGACTCAGCGGGAAGCGATGAATTTTTGCCCCCAGAGCTCCCATTAGAGTTGCACCAATTTCAGATTCAAGTTGAGTTTGGTTGACCCAAATCAGTTACCTAGAAGAGGATCCCTTTTTCTTTCATCTTAGACTAACATCACCTCTTCTGACCTCTGGCTGTCCTGATTCCCTACCTTGTGGCTATGTAACAGCCTCTCCGCCTGGTTGACCAGTAAGATCACACAGCTGGATCTGGGCCCTCAACACACATTGCCTGCACTTCCAAGGACTGGCTAAAACACACGAGGTGTGTAAATAGGCCATGGGGATTAGATGTAGCCCTTGCCTCGAGACAGTCCGAGCCAGAGAACAACCAAACACTGAGACTTGTCCGGCACAGAGGGCAGGGAAGGGGGAGGGATGCACAGAGGCACCTGAGAGAAAGGGATGGAGGCATGTTTACCTGGGGAGGGTGTTACAGGGTGAAGGGGCAGCGATGCACAAGGGGACTCAGAGTTCATGGGAAAACAGAATTAAAGCCTGAGTTTATCTGGGGGGCAAACATTTTTGAAATCCATGTGTAGTTGTTTCATAATACACATTTTCCATGAGATGGGTTAAGGATCGGGGTGTTAGGGGGGCCAGCAGATGGCATGGTGCTTAAGACACTGGACTCCCACATAGCTGGATCTGGCAGCTTGAAAATCATGTCAGGCCTGTGTGCGTGCATGCCCTAAATCCTGAAAGAGTGGAGGAGAAGTGATTGTGGCATCCCCCGCCCCAGGGTGTGCTTTCTCACTTTCCTTCTGTCTCCAGTGAGCATACAGGCTCTATGAAAAGGACCTAATTACATACCTACACAGATGTTAGTGTCAGACCCAGGGTCCAGTAGTCCTGGTTCTGCCACCTATATGCTCAAAATGGCAGGTCTTCACTCCCTCGAATTTCATGCTTCCCCTAGTATAGGTTGTGCTGAATGGTATAAGCTAACTGTAGTCCAGGGCTTAGCAGGAGAAGGCCTCATTTAATGTGGATGCCTTGCTGCCTGTTCTCTCTCGGCATCCAGGGAAATGGAGACCTTACTGGCTCAGTCACTTGCCTGGCCTCAGAGGGGATCCAGACAGCATTAAGGGAGAGTGTAGGCCACCTCCGCCACCCCGACCTTCCTCCCGCATTTGTCGTGGGAGCTTTCCTGGGCGGGGGGTCATACAAGCTTCAAACTCAAAGAGCCCGAGCTTCTATAAGCAGCAAGGTGAGGCAGCATCCCCCTTAAGCCTGACCCCTCGATACCTTGGAGGAAGGTTGTGCGGACACGGAGGAGGAGGAGCTTTGGAGAGGAGCGACCATGTTCTCCAAACTTTTCTTGGTGTTCCTGGTGGAGAGCTGAGTTCTTGGGATCTTAAATCATATTTGGGGATTAGTTGACTTTGTACTCTAAAAAATAACTCCCTTTCACCTGGCCGCTGAGAAGGGCTGTGGGGGCAAGGGCGGTGAGGCAAGGCGAAGAGGGGCAGGGCTGATGAGTCAGGTGCGAAGCCAGCTGTCCCGAGCTGCCGGAGGCCTGCCATTCCCTCCTCTCCCACCCTTATTTGGAGCCCCTGCTGGCCGAGCCCGC